ATACGGCTGGAGACGCATCACTAAGGGAGGGGGGCACACGGCTGGAGACGCATCACTAAAGGGGGGGGCACTCTGCTGGAGATGTGTCACTAATGGAGAAGGCGGGGCACACTGATGGAGATGTGTCACTAATGGAGAAGGGGGGCACACCGCTGCAGACATATCACTAAAGGGGGGGGCACACTGCTGGAGATGTGTCACTAAATGGGGGGCGGGGGGGCACCGCGGCAGGCTACATACAGCTAGTATGGAGTTACAGTTGGGGGGCTGGGATCAGACGTTCCTGTGATGTGTGCGGCTTCTCTGTAACTACTGGGGGTCAACTGGCAGGTCACTCACAATAAAACAGCCGTGTGATTAACAGTAATTATAATAATTATGGTGACAGTATCCACAGCGTGCCTACATTGTGATGTAATGGGTGCAAAAGTACCCATGTCACTCACCCCAAACCACGCCCCTCAGGTATAAACTCCGCCCACTCACTAGCCCCACCCCCCCACAGCTGCACGGTCATTCCAGACTAATCCCACCATCAATACCACTAAAAAACCTCGTAAGCTCCAAGCTTCCATCATACTATTTTTGGAATGACTATTAATGATTGTATCCTTTCCTCTCAATTATATTTCCCCTCCTTCATCACTCTTGATGGCGGTTTGGGATCTACATGGTATCTACCAATTGATTCTCTGTGCCAGAATTAAACAAATTATCATTATGCAGAACCAAAGGAAAATCTCAGAAGCCTTTTATTTTGGACGCCTTAATTATTCCACATCCATCTGAATTATTTCAGGGGTAAAATTTAAAGGAACACTTCCTGCAGCAGATTTCAGCGCCAGGTCTATTCGATGGAATTCACAATGATCTGACCACCTTCTCAACGTTAAAGAGAATTAACTACCGAGAGTAACAAAATCCCCACTGGGCATGTAGCAGTATGGAAAGAAACACCCACATTGTTTTCCACTAGGGGGCACTACCAAAAAAAGGCAAATATGCAGCTCAATTTATGGAAGAGTGAAAATGTCCCATTTCAAGGTCTGAGAGTCAGTCTGGTATATCGCAGAAGGGCACACTGCGCTTAGAAACGGGAGTCTGGGCACTCTCTGGGGACGTGTAAGATAACGGGCACGACCAGAAGCCCGTGCTGCACCAGCCATGATGGACGGCCACTGGTGATTAAGGGATTGAACTTCGAAATCTTCCTTTGGAGATACTGGCCCGGGGTAAACTGCTATACCCATAAACGAGGTACTTTATTTAAACTACTTTAGCAAACGACACACTATAAACAGGAAATGGGTATTTGTAATTTAAGCTATTCAGCAGACGGAGAAGACTCTCTGCTTTGGCATCCGATTGGTGCGTCAAGCAAGGGCATATTCAGGGGCGGGGGCCACAAGGGCTCTGGCCCAGCTGAAAGCTGATTGGACCCCGGAGTGCCCTGTCGTTGCCACTCCCTGATCAAGGCTTATCATTAGCTAATGAAAAAGGTGGCCGGCCTATATGAATTATGGCTGCTCTTATGCCCCCTGCCTTAAAAGTCCTAGAACTGCCCCTGGTGTCAAGGCATCTTAAATCCCCCCCGCCCACTTTCCAGTGACTCCCCATCGCGCTCCGTTCTCCAGTGGTAGCCCACACGCTCTTTTGTGCTTCAGCATCTCGCAGTACTTTCGCCACAGCGGTGCAAATACTAAACTAAGTACAAATACTGTTACTGTACTTAAGGGGGTTTTCCTGGATTTGTACTTTACTTGAGTATTTTCAGTTGTTTGTTTTTCAGCAACTTTTAATTCTGCTTCGTTACCTTTCTGAGCCAAATAACTTTTTACTCCAGTACATTCTGCACGACCATCGTTACCCACCCAACTAAACCAATACATGCTGTTACATCCAGACCCAACTAAACCAATACATGCTGTTACATCCAGACCCAACTAAACCAATACATGCTGTTACATCCAGACCCAACTAAACCAATACATGCTGTTACATCCAGACCCAACTAAAACAATACATGCTACAGTGTTACATCCAGACAACTCCGGGTAAAACAAGAATCATGACATTTTTCACTCGCAATTTTTTTCGTAATTCTTGAACAATATATTTTCTTATTCTTTTGCATTACAAAAAGATGGAACAAATAGTATGCAGAGGTGTACAAATTATTGGTTAACCTACTGATTTTTAAACCTATACTACTGAAATAATGGAGATGAATGCATTGGCTGATCCACCATTTTCTGTGGGAAAGGATGAGGGATTTAGTCGCCTCATTCACCACATTCAAGGGGTGAACAGTACTGGGCTGCGACATGTTTATCATTCTTTATTAAATCTGGCCTGTAGATCAACCTTTCATTTTCCACAAAATAAAAAAAGACATTCTGCTAATCCATGCCAGCAAACTCGGCAAGTTTCATTCCTTCTTCTGAATTAAAAAAAAACAAAACACTTTTCCCTTATTGTGATGCCCTGTAACTTACAATGCTATATGCAAATCAGTGTCTTGTGTAAATTTAAAAGGATAGACTGCTTTTTGTAAGATCAAAAGATCTGAATGCATAGCAAGTACTTTTAATACCAGATATTTTTTACTTTTACTTGAGAAGTATTTTACTGGATGACTTTTACTTGAAAAACATTTTGGTGTGGTGTTTATACTTTTACTTAAGTACGAAAAGACTGATATGAAAGTTCTTTCCCCCCCACTGCCCTTGTACTCGCACGCAGCCACACGCACGGTTGCTGGGTCGGCCCAATCCTCGCTGGTGAACTGTCGGCATTTGTGAGACTGGTAACACTCCCGCCTCACCAAGTCAGCCCCATGGAGGACTGAACACTTCTGACTGTGAGGGTGGACTCAAGTGATCCCTTTGCAACATTTATTTGTGTTGTGCGTTTCCAAAGAGGTCCTTGAAAAAGCAGTGACTGATCTTGCGTGACACCATTGAGAGAGGTCAGGCAGATACTCCTCCTCTAAGCTTTCTTTGGACTGTGGCCAGTCTATTTATTTCTGTGACCACACTTATAATATTATGCGCTATTTTAGGCCCTGTGGTTGAAAGTCTGGATGAGAAAGCCTGATAATCACAGTGTAGCGATGCGGCAGCTGTGCACATCAGCCGGTTAGCAAGCGGCTAACAGGCCAAAGCGAGACTCGTACCTTTGGATGACTCCGTGCCGTAGGGGTACCCCATGCTGTCCGACAGGTCGGCCCAGGCGTCCGTGACCGCAGACTTGTACACCTCCCTGCTGTCGAGGCTCTGCTGGGGGCGGAAGTTGTTCCTCAGGTACTCCACGGACTTGACGTGGTCCTGCTGCTCGGTGGTGAATATGGAGTAAAAGGCCTCCAGCTGGGGTGGGGGAGAGATGGACAGGAAGTCTGGCTTCCAGCGTGCAGCTATTTTTCACCGTGTCACAGCGGAGGGCAGATTGTAGGCAGGTCCATGCAGGAAACTGCTGTACAGCCCAGAGTAATGGCAGATATGCCTGATATTCAAGCATCTGGCCTTTGCGATGGTATCAGCCAACTTCTCGTTTCCCTGCTCCACCTCCGAATGCGGACAAAACCGACTTGGCAAACAGGAGCCAAAGAGGACAAATCCCACACTCGGAAAACGCGAAAAGCCCCCACATTCAGGACGGACACAAACGGGGAACAATAACTGCAAAGAACACACTTTGAAAACAATCCCAGCAGCACTTAAAGTGAGGGAGTGATTAAAAAAAGCAAAGAAACAGAAAGATATTAAACTGAAGAGTCATATCAATGGCATCGTGAGATTCGAACCACCCACCCCTCCCCAAATTAAAATTCTATTGGGCCAGAGACAGAACGTTCCTCTGATAAGACCCCACATGTCACGTGTGAAGCAGGAGCATGGGAGATCCAGCCCCCCACGTGCGCGATACTCTGGGAGAAGGATCTGCCACCTCTCTGCGTATCCCTCCAGACAGCAGTGTGCCCCCCCTGTGTTTATTATGGTCTGGCTGGCCTGATGAGGAGTGGGTAATGAGTCCACCGGCCCCCGGGCATTGGGCTAACGCGGCCCTTAAGTGCCTGGGGAGGGACGGAAAGGTGAGAGGGAGCTTCAGGCGGCTGAATCTCACAGGGGACAGCAAGTGTCCACTGGGGAACAGCGGTGACACATTCAGAGCAGAAAAAGGTGTTTGGTGTGTACAGAACATTAGCCTCGCATACCAGCAGTCCATGGTGACTCATGGAAACCTCTGTCCTGTTACATTCACCCGAGTGCTAAGCTAAAACACTAATAGCGGGCCGGCTGCTCTTCGACTGCTAGTTAACTGCAACTACTCCTCCATACGGCTTCGATCGTGTGCATCAAGCTGTTTTGTTCCCATATTGAGAAAAAAAAAATGACCCAATTCTGTCCTACCCATCACAGTAAATTAAAAAAGAGCTTATTGGGTCAAAAAGTGCTGTTGAGTTAGACTGGGGTATTTGGCTCTTTTAAGTTAAGTGCGTCCCTGATCCTGGGACGAGGTCCACTGCCAGTGTCGGGGGGTGGGAAAGCCACATCCTCTTGTCATGTGGTCTTCTATGTGGGCTGGTTAATAACCAGCGATGGGGGGGGAGGCTGACAGTGCTGGGTACAGCTCGGTCCGGGTCGCTGCACCTGGTTTTGGGCAGCTATCAAGGAGGGGCAATGAGACGTCGCTCTGCCCGGAAAGTCACCCGTGAGCGACGCCTGTCACCATCGATGGCCCCGGCCGAGACCTACCGGCTGAACCATGCAGACGGGCCCCTCCCACACAGACATGCTTTTTAGCTGCCTTGGAGCCGCTCTTCTTAAAGCACAATAAACTGGAACAAGATGCTAAGAAAAAGACTTCAAAAGCGGCACTAAATATACAAAGCGGCTTATTAATGGGCTAATATCCTCCAGTAAGGTAAGGCATACGGAGGGGGGGCGGGGAAAGGACGCTCTTCGGAATATCTCGCCCGTAATGATGTGTACCTCCCTAACACTATGTTTTTAGCTTCACCTAAAAATAAGGAGAGCCGGTTTTAAATTATTTCCATCCTAAGGGAAGATTAAACATGAAATGCTGTCAAATGTAGTGATTTTTACGATGTGAAAAATACTTTCGAGACTGGAGTGGAACCAGCACAGTAGCAACATAACAAGTAAACAAAGATAACAGCGTGTTTTTCCAACTTTTTTATTTCTGTGACCACCTGTGTGGAGCCGCTTTATTTCAGCCGTCTTCCCGCCATTCTTCGTCCGGCCGCGGAGCAGAGAGCACGCTCACACCCATTCTTCGCCCGGCGGCAGAGCAGAGAGCACGCTCACACCCATTCTTCGCCCGGCGGCAGAGCAGAGAGCACGCTCACACCCATTCTTCGCCCGGCCGCAGAGCAGAGAGCACGCTCACACCCATTCTGTCACTAGTGACCTTGGACAGCACTTGGAGCTTGCGGGATGAGGCATGGGGGTGATCCCTGTCCCCCCCGAGAGGTGTCCGCAAAATCAGACGTCCAGCTCCCAGCACATTGCGCCCATGACACGCGCATATTTTATCCCCTTCACTGCATTCCAAGGAGATTCATAACACCCACAGTCACCCGATGACAACAGCTAATTTACAAGCAAATTACAGGTACCCCCCCGCCCCTTATGTGTCCCCAGCTAAGGGCAATTTCACTTTATGGGGGCTTTACATTCATATTCTCCAGCTATGGGTATGACTCTAATTTAAAATTTAAAATTAATTTAAAATTAATAATAGTTAAATTTTTTAAAACAGGAGGTCTGCTGTATTGATCCAGGATTTTAATTAGTTAAAGGATAATAATGTATTTAAAAAATCACTTCCTATAATGCTGCATGTATTCCTGATTCCAGAACAGGTCCGATCGCTCCCTGAAAGCAGAGTACTGTCCTGTACCCCAATTGCTCTCATTTCACAGCTTAAAGCATGACGTGTTCTTCGATACTGATGTTTTCAGGGCCCAGTTTACAACATCCGGTTTCTTAATCTTAAACGTGCCCCCTCATTAGAAAAACAAGCCATACCGCTCCAGAACCGATACCCTCGAAAGGGTTCCTTAAAGAAACAATGAAACAATCCCATAGCTTGAAGAGAAATCAGCTGAGGCACACATACGATTTACAGCCAGTGCGCAGCTACGACGAGGACGGCCAGGGGGATACAGCCCAGTCTCACCAATCAGAATTCAGCGAGCGACAGGGAAGGCAACACGGGAGATGGATGCTGGCCGCAGGAGCGGTTAAGGTACACGCCTCGCAAGCCGACGACGGGGGCCTCGGATCCCGGGAGGGGAGGGAGCGACTATTCCGCCCTTGAGCAGCCAGCTTTAAACACGAATTGCCTCGATAAATATTCCACGGCATGGCATAAATAAGAACTTACAAATGGAAAGCTGTCAGACAAATGGCGCACCCCTCACCGGGGCCGATAAGCAGGAGGTGGGAGCAAAAGTGAGGTGGGGTGAGGCAGGGC